GAACATTATTTTAATGCGTCAAATAACATATATTACGTAGAATCGTCTTTATACAGAGTCAACTTAACTATATATAATGTATGTGTGGCTTTAAATGATGTCAATTATGCCATCACATATATAATCATCAAGTGTTTTACTGTTATTCGTATCCTAGTATACTAGTCATGCATATGGTTATATATAGGTATTTCTTACTTAAAGAATAAAAATGTATCCACGTGTCACATTTTGTTACTTTCGTTTCGAACTAAATGTGACCAATGTGGAAAATAGTAGGACTTTTTATCATTATGTACAGAATACAACCATAAGCAGGTTCAATATGAACTGAGGTATATCGTATGAATAAAAAACAGTTGTTTCCCTTATCTTCGAGTAAAATACATATCTCTTATGCTAAAATAATACAAATTAAGCTTAGCTTATTGTGAGTTAAAATCCGATTTTAAAATTTATTACACCAATGGAAAGCTTCTGGTCTTAGCTTCATCACAGTATATACTCTTAATATATTTCTTGGCACAATTAACGATTTATACAGTGGGATAAACAACCGGTTATCTACTGTGGTCTGCTATTTTGGAAAGTGCTTGTAGACCTGTGTATTCCAAATCCATAAGAAAATAATTGGTGTACCCTTGTTTGTTTTCTTAAAATAATCAAATATTGTAATTATAAATTTGATACTCGTATTTGTGATGCATGTACCTTGTCGCCATATTTGTATATATGTATATGTTTTGCCACATGGGTCTAAGACCTTCTGGATGAATTATGAATAAACTTGTAAACTTGTAAAACTTGTATATTCATAAATGCACATTGTATAATGATAGGTCGACATCAAATAAAGACATATTGACATCAGATATTGTTTAGTTGAATTCATATAAGGATGCTTCTACATAATATATTCATGGGTGCACATTGTATAAAGACAGAGGGACACAACAACGTTCATTTTTATAATCATACGTAAGTCAAGGCTTTCAATACTTACGTTTGACCTCACTTTACTATTAAAAAGGCGGCTATTAATTTTATTAAAACCAGAACAATGTTTGCATTATCTCAAAATAAAAATACAAAGCTTTTAAGAATTTACACGCATCCAGTATAGATGTTTCCAGTGCATGCAAACAAGTACAAGTCAGATCTGGATTTAGCAAATGTTGTTGTTGTTGTTGTTTTTCTTTTTAATTAGGCAAAACAATCCTAGAGCAGAATATTAATGAAATATTAATGAACTAATTTGGTGCGATTCAAATGCTGACAAACTAAAGGTTACTCGCTTATCGTAATAGCTATGTGTATTCATCGTGCACTAGCAGTAAATTACTTGTATTTTAGGTTATAAAAAGGAATATTTACCGTCAAACATGCCTTTGGAATTTCGAATACGTTTGGACCGCTCAACTGATACTGAGTGTAATTACTATACAGAAGTGTTTTGGAGACTGTATTACCTTCAAAGACAACAAACATTTCAACATTAAAAGGTTATGATTTATTAGTAACATAACATTTGAATCAAACTCTTGCAAACAAAATTATTTTCTTCTAAACAAATTTCATTGAACCGTCACTGAAATTCATATGTTTTGTGGTCATTGCATTAATGAATATAACAAACATGATAATATGAACAAATACTCGTATTTCAAATGAAAACTAAATTTCATAGATGCTTTTTATATTGCGCATGCGTGACAAGATGGACGCGGTTTTTCAAATGTGAAGATTTTCATACTTTTAAATGGTTTTACTGGTGTTTTATTTGGTCGAATCTTGGATTAAAGTGTTGTAAAGTGTACCTTGGATATTTTACAACGATGTCGGACTCACAAAATAACGCAATACCCCTATTTACGGTGTTTCCACTGACAATAGATATAATATGTTGCGTTTCGAGGGACAGTTTGCCGCCTGTAATCAAACGCCCAATTCGACATTCGAACAATGTAAAGAATGTAAAGCGTAGTTATATGGATTCTTCAACAAGCTGTAATAGGATGGGTATTTACGGTAATCTAAGTTAACAGTTAAAAGTTACTGTCTTTCTTACTTATTGCATGGTATATACAATATTATTCTCAACCAATCAAATTGTTGTTTTGAATACTGAATTGTATAAATAAGCTGACTTTGGTAATGTTAGCTAGGTTAGGTACTGTACCTACTCTGGTCAGTACAACAAGGCTTAGCCTTGAAACATTAAACTGGACTTAGTCCTTAACAAACGTTTATGTTTATTATAAACGACCATATATAAAAATATCATAAACATAATCTTAATTAAATAATAAATATAGTTATTCTTAATATAAAACTAAATATAATTTGATTAGTATTCTCTTTCAATTTGTTAGGGCTTTTCATATATTAAAAGCATTGATTGAAATTGAATTTACTAGTTGTTGTTGTTTAGTCCATCATCTTTATATAGTGACACTTATATATAAATCTACTGAGCCCTGAGAATTTACTCCAGTTATAATTTGTGATCGTTTGGTCTCCGTGTAAAGCATTGATTCTCATTAGAACCTGACCACTATTACAAAGCCAAAACAGTACAGTTTCATTTTCTTCACTATCTATAGATGACAAATTATCTATAATGTGTTCTAAACTTGACAAGCTAGAGAAGAATGATGAAAAATTAATACAAATGTCCTCAAATTTGAACCAGACAATTATCAAGGTAGACAAAATTGGTCATGATATTGGCAGACAAAAACTGTATATGAAACAATTAGCATACCATACAATAGATCAGAGTGCGCGTTCGAGGCGAAATAACCTGATTTTCTACGGATTAGCGGATTTACCAAACGAGAATATATATACCGTTATGGTGGATTTCATGTCAGACCAATTAGACATTAATTTAACGGAAATTTGTGTGCAGAGAATTCATCGTCTTGGTTCAATTAGTAGAGCACGTGCACGTACACAGACACCTAGACGACCAGTCATCATTGCTTTCCGCGATTATCGAGACACTGAGTATATCATGGAAAATGTCCAAAATTTATACGGCACGAGATTCGGAATTGACCGAGACTATCCGAAAGAAATTGCAGTTGCACGCAAAAAACTATATGACTTTCAGCGCATGAATTTCTCAAAAAAAGACAAGTGTAAAATACAGTACCCGGCTAAATAAATTGTAAACGGAAATCTTGTGAGAGATAAATTTCCCGATTGGCATCATCTCTTAAACATGAATTTGCTGGAAATGTTCGACGAAACAGCTGAGGACAGCGTATATATCCGTTCAACTGTGATAGATTCTCAATCGCACTCTTTAGCAACGCAACCCGTTAACCTGGATATACCATCTACCAATAATTCTCTTAATAGCGAAATAGACATATCTCCCCCTATCGTGCAGTATCCGTTACAATCACATGGCGGTCCAGTACAAACGACGGTAAATGAAGGCCCCTGTAACCATACTCGTAATTTACATGTAAAGAAGTCCACGTTGTCTTGTTAACAAACACCACGTACATACAGTCAGGTGACAAAGACGAATATTCAGTATCAACTATCAATAGGATGACGGGGAGAGACAGACTTTTATGTAAATAAACTCGATCATGAAGAAATTAAGGAATTGTTTAAAAATAACGATTTACTGTTTTTCACAGAAACATGGTCGAATGAGTTAGTAAATATGGAAGTCGAGGGTTTTTATCTTTATGCACTCCACAGAACGGATAAACATTATAATGCTAAAAAGGACTCGGGTGGAATCTGTTGTTATATAAGAGATAATTTAAAAACAAACGTATATCTTTATCACAGTGACAGCGATGATATTCTTTGGTTGAAATTTTCTAATGTATTTTATGAGCGCCAGTGTGATTTATATATATGCTTATGTTATATCATTCCTCAAGGCAGTAGCCGCGAGCATTTAACTCAAATTCCGGTTTATGATAGAATATTGGATGATATTGTTAAGATATCTGCAGAAACAAATGAATATTGTAGATATTTGGTGCTAGGAGACATGAATAGTAGGGTTGGTCGTTTAGATGATTTTATACAATATGATGATTTAGATAAGCATGTTTATTTTTTGCCTGATGATTATGATACAGATGTTATATTACCAAGATTAACTTAAGATAGTATTGTCAATAGAAATGGCCATGATCTGACTGATCTTTGTAAGCAAAGCGGTTTAAGGATTATGAATGGTCGAGTATGTAATGACCCAGGTAATTATACATATATAAGTCATACGGGTAAAAGTCTAGTAGATTATGTGCTCGCTAGTCCTTCTATTTTAAATACCTTTTGTTATTTCAATGTCGGAATGCCTAACATATTGTCCGATCATTGTACAGTTAGTTTTAGTTTAAAATGTAATGATGTTCAAAATGTACGGCAAACGGATGATAAATGTGATAGTAAAATACGTTTTACTTACAAATGGGACCCAAATAAAATTGATATGTATAAACAATCATTGACAGATGTATATTTTCAAAATTCTATTCAAACTCTTAAGGAGGATTTGGGTGTCGCCCCGAGTCCAACAGAGATTGATTCAAATGTTGATAAATTTTCTGAAATTATGGGAAACATTTGTACACCTTTGTTTGGAAAGCGTATTTTTGATAATAGGGATACAAAACAAAACTCCGATAAACCATGGTTTGATGGCGAATGTTCAAGAAAACGGAAGCAGTTTTATAACAATGTTAACATTTACAATAAAAATAATACAGATGACAATCGTAACTTGATGGCTGATTCAAGAAAGGAATATAAAAACATGATTAGAAGCAAAAAATATTTACATAGAAAAGAAAATACTGATAAGTTTATACAGTCAAGATATAAAAATGCAAAACTTTATTGGAAATTACTTAAGGAATCTGTATGTAATAACAGCTCTCCCAAAATAGGTGTAGATACATTTGCGAATTATTTTAGCGCAATTAATAACCCAGATAGCCATTTTTATCAAGCTGATGATGATATTTTATATTTTAACGATATGATTCTCAATAACGAAATACAAGTTATGTTTGAAGAATTAGATGTAGAAATAACAATCTCAGAAATTATCAAAGCTATAAAGCAGTTAAAGTGTAACACGGCAAGTGGACCAGATATGTTTTTAAATGAATTTTTTATAAATGGTGCTGATCAATTAAAAGTTACTTGCATGTGTTATTTAATAGTTGTTTAAGCATGGGTTATTTTCCTGAGCAATGGAGTCATGGTTTTGTTGTTCCAATCCATAAGTCTGGTGATATAAATGAACCAGGAAATTACCGTGGAATCACATTACTGAGTACATTTGGCAAATTGTTTAGTCGAATTTTGAACAACAGACTCGATAGTTGGGCTGAAAACTATTCTATATATGTTGAAGCTCAGGCAGGTTTAAGAAAAGGTATGGGTACAATTAACCATTGTTTAAATAATAAGGAAGATTTGTACTGTGCATTTATAGATTTTCAAAAAGCTTTCGATTTTGTTGTTAGGGATTATTGTGGTACAAACTTTTGCAATGTGGTGTAAGTGGAAACATATTAAATGTTATAAAGTCAATGTATAGCAATGTTAAGTCACAAATGAAATGTAATAATGAGTTAAGTGATGCGTTTTTCTGTAATTTAGGCGTTCGTCAAGGTGAAAGTCTCTCACCTTTTCTTTTTAGCATGTATTTAAATGATCTGGAGCAAACTTTAAATGATAGAGGTATAGAAGGTATTGATGTTGGAATGATAAAGATAGGTCTGTTGTTATACGCCGATGATATTATTCTTTTTAATAAAGAGCAGATGAATTGCAACATTCTCTAAATATTTTATTAGAATATTGTAATAGATGGAAATTAACAGTAAATACGAGAAAAACTAAAGTCATGGTGTTCAGTAAAGCAGGTAGATTACCTCAGAATTTACGTTTCTTGTATAATTATCAGGAATTAGAAATTGTATCACGTTTTAAATATTTAGTCGTTTTATTTACGTCAGGTGGTTCATATATTCAACATGATAAGTTGTTAGCTGGACAGGCTTTAAAAGCTATTTTCAAAATGAATAAATATTTATATAAATTTACAGATTTATTACCCAAACATACACATGATTTATTTGATAAGTTAATTATGCCAATTTTAATGTATTCCTCAGAGGTATGGGTTTTTTATAAAGCCCCACATGTAGAAAGAACATATTTATGTTTTTGAAAAAGACTGTTAAGTGTTAAAGCATCTACCCAAAATGATTTTATATATGGCGAGCTTGGTAGACAAAGTTTGATATCATATATATATATATCTTTATTTCCTCCAATACTGAAGAGTTACATGTTGTAATGCAAATATGATTCTATATCTACAAAGTAAGAATATAATTTTTAACAAAACAGAAACACAGATAGTAAATATACTAATACGATGACTAATAAAGCATTAGCCTCCTAAACAAATGGCATGATAGTTAACAAAACATTGATCATATATGAAAGCTTACATATGGCAATGAAACATCAACATATATAAATTGACATATGACTGTTAGAAAATCATTGGCATGGATAAATAGAACAATCATTCTTAACAATTTCCTGCGATTTCTTTGGCACCGCTGATATTAATACAATATTTCAGTTGAGAATTTGGCAACAGCGATAAAACATTGTATACGCATACTGTCATTAATATCAAAACTTGTGAACCCACTTAACATCTCTATAAGTTGGTTTTCAATGCTCATACCGCTTAACATGCGGAAATAATTGTGTCCTAGTAAAGATATGATGTGTCCATAGACTATATCTAATGTTATCATAATGTAAGCAATGAAACACTTTATGTAACGCATATTCGTATGTTGCAGTCTTGCAATAGTCACACACAACGGGATATTTTCTTTCGAAATATTTGCACATCAGTTTGAACAATGAAAAGCATTGTGTTTTATAAACCGGGAAATGTCTTTGAAAAATCCATTTAGAGCTGAAGTCGTATGTGGAATGTATATTTAAAAATAGGTTGATATCGTCATCGTGCTCTACTCTAGATTTCCAAGTACAAAGTACATGCTCGTGCACCGCCTTTTTGGTTATTCTTTTCCAAGCATATTTAGACGGAAAGAAACCTGTTTCTGAAAAGTCATGTAGATATGAAAATAGTTTATATTTTCCAAGAACATTGATCACGTCGGGAATAAAGCCTTTAGATTTAGCAGGTCGTGCATAATAATGATAATATGATGTTAAACGATAAACAAAAATTTGCTTAAACTTCATATTTGAATCTGCATGACATAGTTGAGACAAAAAAGATAAGTTTTCTTATATCAATAAGGTTAGATATCGGATAAATCCCTAAACAACTGAGAGCAATGTCAGTACGAGTTCCGTATGGAACGCCTTGAATCCATTTGACGCATTGTCTATGTGCCCGTTCCAAGGGGAGTAACTGTGTCGCGTTGACACCGCTCCATAATTCACTCCCGTAGAGCGCAGCTGGGAGAACTTTAGTTTCGTAGATACGCCTTGAGGTGTTAGGGTTTAGTCCATTTTTCCCTATTCCACTGTTAGTTAAGCTAAAGAATGTTTTCCTAAGTTTATGGCAGCTTTCGGTTATGTTTTCGCGAAGGTTCATGTCATCTGTGCAAATAATGCCTAGATGGGTATATGAGTTAGTTTCAATTATATAATTTTATTTCCCATTTTCCATTGTCTTTTGTTGCTACATTTATCATTGAAAACGAGAACTTTGCATTTCGTTGCGTTATAAAAGTAACGTTCCTTTTGGGCATAATTGAAGCATATATCTATAAGTTCATCGAGCCCTTTTTTGACATTTGAAATGATGACCATATCATCAGCTGAGGTTGGACATGCACATACTATGTTGTGAATTTTAAAGCTACTTTTACACATGTCAATCCTGTTCAGTAGCTCATTTATGAAGAGGATGTAGAATTGAGGACTACAACATTGTCCTTGACGTGTACCTTGCAGCACGGGGAACCAGTCGGAGACAAATCCATTTGCTTTTACACAACTGTAACAGTTTTGGAAGAACGATTTAAATATTTGAAACAGAGATATATCAATACCACTTTGATACAGTTTTAGTAACAACGAAGAAATCCAAGTGTGATCAAATGCTTGTTTCGCATCTAA